GTGACACAAAACAGTCTGACGGACAATAAGCCCATAATCTCTATCCTCTTTAGTTTCCTCTCCTAGGTCAGGATAATCATCTTATAAGGTTTATATCATCTATAACAAAAAAAAAAACGAAATTTAAGTTAAATAACCTACACAAAAATTAATTAAAATATAAATAAATAAAATCAATGATAACTATTCAATATTAACATCATTTATCTGCACGTTATCAATATCTTGTCACCCCACGAGACCGAAGTTGTGAGCATTGTCCCATTCTCTAAGAGGGGCCCACCTGAGGATCTACGTTGCTATGTCATTATTTCTTTGGGAATTGGACACAACAATTTGAAATGCTCGTACGCCCAACATTAAAATGCACGTATAAAGAAATAAGAATTACAATAAAAAATATCTATCAAACTTTAAAAACTATCAAAACTTTAATATACTAGCATTATCAGCAAAAGAGTGGTTGATCTACTCAGATGTTGATGACCAGGACGAACAACTTTGGACAAGCCTCAAACAAAAAAGATGGGGCAGCTGCACCCCATGCATACTGACCAGCTACTTCCATATCCTCGAAAAGCTATAAATATATTGTAGGCACCGTACCATCTGTAAAATCTGTAAAGATTTTGCAGTCGGTTAGATATAGGAGGTAGGTGCGGGTGTATCGTAAAAGAGTGGTACGATTATAGTTATATGGCAGCCGCTTAAAAGTGTTCATCAATCATGTCAGCCGGATAATATAATTGTTACGACTATGTGACAACTGTCCTATTATGCGGGTTATATAATCCCTGCAGCTCTCCACTCTCCTCAAAGTGACCACTACACCAGTCACTTTTAAACGGAGAATTTTTCATACATTTTCAAGAGTAAACATCATCTCTTCGACTTCTAAATTGAAGTACCCGGTGTTCGTCTCTACACGCCACCTCCCGATAATAGTAGACAATGTGCCACGGTCGTGGTGAGTCATCGGTACTATGGTCAGAGGATATGATCTTGATTTCCAGACCTAATCGATTTGATCATTGTTTGTTAAAGGCCACAAGGAAGCTTGGCTTCTCATCAACCCTGAGGGAATTTTCCCGATCCTAAAATGGAATTTGTGATTTCAGATACTAAAATAAATAAATTGATTAACTAACATGATAGACAAAGAATATAATTTTGAAACAGTTGTACATACATATCCTTCCCATATCTTATGTAATATATGTTCTCTTTGTCTATTCAACAATGTAGGAATATCAGGACCTCCAGGGAATGGTGCATCTTCTGCCATGGTCCCTGTTCAAAAAGCCATTATAAACAACAAGCTCATGGTAAATAGACTGTTATTAATCTATCAGACACCTGACCAATGACATTCAAAGTAAAAGAACAATATAAAAAAGAATTATTAGTTTATCAAACACCTGACCATTGATAGACAACAATTTTGCATGCTTGCACACATGATCAAATTTTAGCCAGAATATTGTTTAACATTCAAATTTTCTTTGGATCTAATTTAGAAGAACTATATTGATATGCAACATCTTTTAATCAACATGATTCGAAAATGTAGAACTCATTGAAGTTGTTACTATATCATGATTCACATTCAAATTGGGACTCACATTTAAATTATCATATCACTCACAAAAGAGCTTAAGCCCTAGGTGTGAGTATATATCCTGAATTTGGTTATCTCAAACGATGAAGATATAAATCCCAACTATTGCATAATGAAAAATGAATACGAGAATATTAGAATAAAGTACGAAAAAAGAAAAACACAACTCTGAACAAGTTCAAATAAAATATGATTAGAATATAGAAACAATAAAATCGATTTTTAAACCATCATACGGTATGCTCCAAATGTGGAATAAAACATATGCATACAACATCATCTATAAATTTGGAGATAGATTTCTTACCTCAAAGATCAGATGAGGTAACATAAATGAGGGAGAGAGACCCGTGAGAGATTGAGCGCCACAAAACTTGAGGTTGAGAACCATAATGGTTGAGAGCCCTACCACAGTAAAATCAGAACTGTAAACGCAAAAATGGCCGCCATAAAGGTTGAGAGCCCTACCATAGTAAAATCAGAACAGTAAAGGCAAAATAGCTTTGGGTTAGGGTATATAGCTTGCAAAATTATTATGGCATTTCGAGTGCTGCAATACAAATTCAATTTCTTATGGTTAAAAGAATACCATAAGAATAACTTTAAGTATTACAGTACTTAAAGTACCGTAATATTACTTTGGGTTATTACAGATCTGAATTAACGTATAACTTGTAATATGTATTACGGTAAAACGACTACCGTAAAGGTTATTTTCGTAAAAAAAAAAGAAGCAAAAAATGAGGAAAAAGGGTGTAGATGAGTTTTAAAAAAGTTGGGTTTTTTTTTTCTTCTAATTAGGCGAAATTTGAGGTATATTTTTGATAATTTCCCAAAAAATTAACTTTTTATGATTGAAAAGAAACCTTCCTAATTTCATATGGTTAGATTCAAGTGCTTCATAACTTCAAATGTAATTTCATAATTTTAAAATAATTATTTTATGATTGTAATTCCACCATAAAATATCCCAAGACTGCAAAAACAAGGAGGGTTGTGATAGGTTGGAATTTAATATAAAACTCTTACCACATCTATTTTCATAAATCCTAAAAGGATAAGAAATATGATAGACTTCAATATGAATGTATTTGGGAGAACTTAGATGTGGCTACATTAGGTGATAAGATGAGGAAAAGTAGACTTAGATGGTATGGTCATGTGCAACATGAACCTGGACAACAATATTTCGGAGGGGTAATTTGGTTCAAGTGGAATGCTCTAAAAAGGCAATGGGATGACCCAAAAAGACGTGGATAGAAATAGTGAAAAGAGATATAATGACTTATAGTTTGACTAAAGCAATAGCCTGTGATAGAACGTAATGGAGGAACAATTTGTGTAACCGACCCCAAATAGTTGTGATAAGGTACAAATAACAATTATAATGGCTCATGTAAAGTAGATGCCAAATGCTGACTCACTTTATGATGGTAAAGTAATACTAAATCATACATTATGTTCCAACATAAGCATGAAATAATAATACAAGAGCATAGTACAATTTTTGGTTTTCCCTATGTCTAGTGGATGAATGTAATTGTTTTATGGTTTCTTGCTTGTTTTAGTTTGGCCCTATAGATTTATGTTGGAGTAGCACATTTCTTTTTGGCCAATTTCTTTTTTTCTTTTGTGAAAGTCCAACAATTTTTTTTTCTTTTTCTTTTAGGTGGTTCAATGGAAGGATGCATACCTGAGACATAAAGTTGCATTAAATCATTGCCTTACTAGTCCAGCCCTAGAGAGGTTCTTTTAGGGAGGTTTTAAGCACAAAAAAGTTTGTTGGAGATTTAAAACTATTGTATTTCGTGTAACTAAATTCAACAAAAAAATGTCAAAAAAATGTCAACGTATTTATCTTTGGTACAAGATAGTCACAATTAATTTAACTATTGATTTTGAAATTGGTTAGCTACATTTATTGCATTGACCGAGCTCAAAGCTAAATTTTTTTTTTTTTGAACTTTGTGAGATACCCAAACAGTCAGATTTCGTATCAAATGGTCATAAATAATTGTGACTTCCTCCTAGCAAACAAATGTGAAATCGAGCTGCTAAAGATGTCTTACAAGGTTTGAGGAAAGTATCTAGATGTTTGAGCCTACTTAATGACATATATGCTATTTGTTCTCATATTTAATGGCTAATGGTGATTGTGATCTTCAAATTTTGAAGATAAAAACAATCTTATCGTATACTTCTCAAAAGCAACCAAATACTTTTCAAATTAATCACCCTTTTAATAGAAAACTGAGAAGCTTTTGACAATTATTTCCCAAAAATCTATGAAATAAAAAGTGTGGAAAAGAGATTTGTGCGAATTGATAGGCATAAAAAATGCATTAACTTATAGTAAAATAGATGACCTTAAAAATAGTTTTACTTTTTTCAATATTTAGAAATCTATGACCTGTGCTTGAGCTAGAAATTTAGCAGCTATTTGCATCCAAATTCTAAAGCTAATGGTGACTTGGCAGTGTGGCAAAGGGATATTCTTCGTTCTACTATTATATTCAGAGAAGATATGTTTGTTTTTTCCATTCTAACTAGCCATCACATACTATTTGGTGTCATTTTACACTGAAATGGATTTCCATAAATGACGATGGCAAAGAACTTGTGTATACCCATCCAAGCAAAGGGGAATAACAATACAAAACTTTAGTGGTCCGTCCAAACTGGCCTTAAAGTCCACAAAACTTTTAATCACCCAATATAATAGTTCAAAACCCATATAGCGGTACAGATATTTTCATGTACAAAAGATAAATGGTCATAGACAAAAAAAGTTTTTGATGAGTTCATTGACAAGTGTGCCCGAATTTTCTAGGGTCCAATGCATACTAATTCCCACCATGTACCCATGAAATTGAGGCACAAGAATAGTATGAATGTGATTATTTATGGAGAATTGAAATGATAAGTGCAACAAGAAAAACCATTTATAAGGCTCAAAATTCATTTCTATTTACAAATTCAGAAGAACAATTGTTTCATACCGGGTGGACCGCATTTGTACAATATGTGGTCCATGAGTATAAAGCATCCATCTCCATTTAAAACAATTATAACTAACGGTTAAAATGTTTTTTTTATTATAATTATAGTTTTTATTTTTTAAAATTTATTTATTTTTTCATATTCATATTCATGATCTTCTCGTTAAAAGATTATATATTCTCTAAAAGTGAGGATCAAATTATATTTAATTATTGTCAAGCCCGCATTTCTACATGTGCGGGCGTGGCCTCATGTTAACCGCGTCTAATTCAAAATCACCCCCGGAGCGAGTGAATTTCTGGAAGGAGGACGCACCGGAAAAGGAGCGTCCGAGAACGCACCTACCTGCTATTCTGTGGTCCTATGTATCTTACTGTACTTTTCGATGCTCTCCTTTCTTCGCTGCCATAAACTATCGTCCTCCCCTCCGTCACGCCAAAGAAGAGGCGCAGGAGAATTTAGAGAGAGAAAGAGAGGGAGAGAGATGGCAGGGGAGCATCTAATGAAGCGAATCCCACGCATAAAGTTTCCACAAAGGCACTCCAAATCCCCTGGTACTGTATAAAGTTCTTCATTTTTTTTCTTGTTCTCTTTTTCCTTTTCCTTTTACATCATATAAATGTTATTTCAGTGAGCTCTATTTCTCAAATTGTTGGGTCATACTCATAAATCGGCATTAGGTTCATTCAATGAATAGCTGAAGAATGTCACATATTATGGGTAGAAATTGTTATACATAGATCTGTTTTATTTACATAGATTATTTTCAGGGTACTTAACCAAAAAAAATAAATTTTTAGGGTTTCTATTTTACGTGGGTAAACTGGAATTTCAAACCTGGGACATTTGAGTTATCGCCCTTATGCCGTAACTAATAACTCGAAACTTTCAGAATTGGGCGATCATTTCGGTGTCTTAACATATGTAAATCTGGGTTTCTGCTATTTATTTTGACAAAAGCAACTTGTTTGAAAATGGGGAGGATTCATGTTTTGGGGAGGATTCATATTTTGTTGCTCTCTGGATAAATGGGGTATGCATAATAAACGTTGTCAAATGGGATTTGTGTAATTCATCTGCCATACACAAAAATTAGGTTTATCCTATCTGAGCTTATTATTGGAAACAAGTTCCTGTGTGGAATTGGATCTAGCCCCGGTTTTCGTAGTTCCTTTTTTAGTTTCACGTTTCAATTCTAACGAGTGATAGATTTGTGGTCTTGTAGATAGCTGAATAAGCATGAGGTGCTAATGTGGTCATTGGTATATGATTGGGAATGTCAAAGTTCATTGGGAACTTCCATATTGGTGAAAAGGAGAAACTGGATATTCTCATAATAAGAACAATGAGCTCGCCAGTCACCATAGCAAGTGTGTAAAAATTGTATAAGTTAAATAGAGATTTCAATTGAGAGAGGGAAAGTAGAAGAGAAAACATAATTTGGCTTTGACAGGTGGTAAACATAAATATTATTATGGATGAAATGCTTAAAAGTGTTAGTACATGACTGGTGAACTAGAAGTTTAATGAAAATTTCTAGTAAAAATGAAAACAATAGGTAACTATCAAATGAATTTTTTTTTTTGTACTGGCTGTAAAGAATGATAAGTGATATGAAGAACTTTTCCACGATGAATTTGTAGCTTGGGTTCTAGTAGAAGCATATTTTTTCGTGCATAATGTGATCTTGGGGCTTGTGCTTAGTGTGTGGATTCTCTAACATGGTTGTGATAAAAACTTGTACCATGAGTTCTATATTTCTTATTTATGCAAATGTCTATTTATTTTTGGAGCTGTGGCATCACAAATGATGCGCGTGGTCCATGACAAAGAAGTGTATTTTCCATAACCACAAGAGTAAATGCGTACCTTTTGTTCAGCTTTGGTCCGGCAATTGCTTATTGGGGCTGAGGCTAGTTAACTAATTCCTTGCAACACCTCTCAAAATTGCAAACGAAACTCAGAAACTTGCTATCAGACATTCACACACTACTCACACACAAATATGTATGTTCATATTCAGGCTCCATAACGAAGCTTATTTGCTTTTAACATGCTTTTGCCTATATTAGTATTATTTCGAGAATTGATGAAGTTTTTTTTTTTTGCTTTCAATGCGTTTCTGTAATGTCTCTGTCTTTTACCATTCTGCAAGGTCTTTATAAATATTAGAGATATAATTTAGGCAGCCGAGAAACCGTTGAAGTTCGGTTTTGTCCTTAATAATATCTGGGAATTTTGACGCAAATTCAATTGCCCTATCAATAGGAATTATCCTCCCTTGATAAATATTATGTCCAAGAAACCTTATTTTCGTTTGAAAAAGATTTATCTTTTTGGCTGATACAACTAACCCAGCATTTTTGACAGCTTTAAAAATGTGTTTAGATGTTTCCAATGTTGATCAATGGATTCAGAAAAACAAGAACATCATCGATATATACAATCATGAATTTTGTATAAGGATTGAATATGTCGTTGCATTTTTCAAACCAAAAGGCATAACGTTCCATTCATAATGCTCGAAATTGTAGGCTGTTTTATATCTGTCCTTTTCAGTTATTTGGATTTGCCAATATCCAGATTTTAAGTCAAAATTTGAGAATATGCAGGCATTAACCAATCTATCTAAGAGGTCTCTTTTATTTGGAATTGGATATCGAATCCATCTTAATGCTTTATTTTATGGTTTATAATTTATAACTAATTTAGGGGCTCCTCTTTCAATTTCAGAAGCCTTCTCAACATAAAAGGGTGAACAACTCCAAGGTGAGGAACTTTTTCTGATGAGTTTTTTATCAAGCAATTCTTGTATTTCAGTTTTACAAATTTCAAGGAGCCTACTATTCATTTGAATAGGCCTTGCTTTTGTAGGAATTTTTTGCTCCTCAAAACCTGGTTCATAGGGAAGTTCAAGTATATGTTGCTTCCTATTCCAAAAGCGTTAGGGACATCAGAGCATATTTCCTTTTTGAGAATGGTTTTGAAACTACTAATTTTATTTTGCATTTCAGGATATAGTAATTTTTCCTCAATGGTTTTATACCTGATTTCCTCTTTTAGATAAAAAAGGAATTTTTCTTTGGTAGAGATTTTATTTTTAATGTTATTTATTTCATGAACTCTGGGCTTATCTATGAAGGTAAATTTTACCTCATGTCCCTCAATGTTGGCCTCAATACCGGTATCATCAATTTTGATAGGGTAAAGCATATTTAGGAAAGGAGTTTCAAGAATAACCGGTTGACTTAATCCTTTAACTATGATAAAAGGAAACTTAAAGCATGCTCCGTTATTGTGAACTGCCGCATCAGATAGTTTATAGTTTATTAACATCTTACTTTCGTCAGCGGTGTTTAAAAGTTGTGTAGTTTTACTAAAGTATTTTGTAGGGACTAAGCTCTCATTTATACAGTTTAAGTCTGCTCCGAAATCAATAAGAGCAGTGGTTTGAAAAGTTTATTCTTTTTGAACCACGATTTTAACGATAGTAAACCATCGTTGAGTTATGACTTTGTCTAATAGGTTAATATATTTATAGTTTTGAATTTTGATTTTTTCCAGCATATTACAATTGTTTGAAGTTTTAGGGTTATCATTTTTTAGAACTCTAGGAAGATTATCTTCTGCTTCAGGTGGTAGAAGATCATGGTGATAATCATTCATTATGTTGCTGAATTCTTCTTCAGTATTTTCCTCATAAATACCTTCCTTTATAAAAGTGACAGTTCCCATTTCCAAGATTTGAAATCTAGTTTTCAAAGATACCAGTTCATTGCGAACTTCATTTATCTCGTGCTTTAACTCAGGAATTGAAGTTCTCTAATAGTTTGAGTTTTGTTTTGAGCTCTTTTAAGGATGTCGTGGAAATTGTATTCTTCTCTTGTTGGAATGAGAGAAGGTCTAAGAGTAGTGGTCTAGAAGGATCTTTTGTCATATCGATGTATTGAATCAAGGCTTCTTTTTTAGCCTCTTGGTCACAAATTTTATCAATCAGATCAATGATTAAATTTTCTTCTTTTGTAAGAGTATTTATGTTTAAACCATTCATATCACTGATAGCCTTGAAGAAATTGCATTGGCAATCATTTTTAGGATTATCATCACAATTAGAATCAAAGTCAGAGTTAGTGATGATCAAATCCTCATCATTTATTTCTCCAATTATCATTTCTTCATCAGAGTTAGAACTATTAGAATCATCTCTTTTTATTAATAGAATATCAAATAATTGTTTTTTGATATCTGAGTCGATTTCGAGTGCATTGATTTTCTTTTTAACTCTGCATTTATTTATATAATGACCTACCGGTGTCTTTCTATTTCCCTTTTGCTTGAAAGAGTGATCTTGTAAAATTTTTTTAGGAAATGTATTTTTTCTTTCATGCGAATGTTTAGATCTTGATTTTCGTAAATTCTTATAATTTTTTTTGTGAGTGGGTTTAGAAGTGGGTAAAGTATTATACCCAAATTATTCACAAAAGTCTCCTAGTTATTTCTTCCTTGTCATTCTCTATTTTTCTAATTTCCTTCGAAGTTTCAGATCTGTACATAAAGCAAGACCTTCATTGCAGATTTCCGCTGATAATTCTCCAAGGGTATAAAAGGAGTAGGGAATAATTCCACGATGTTTATTTTTCAGTCGTGTTTTAACCTTTTCGGCAAAAAGATGGGGAAGTCCAGTTATAAATTTTTCCTTCTAATGATCAGCCTTACTATATTCCCTGAATAATAATTTAGAGTAGAAAACATCTTTATACCATTTAAAGTGAGAGAGAGTTGGACAACGTAAATGCGAAAGTAGATCTTCAGATCTAGTAGATAAGAGGGTCGTACTTCCAACGAAGTGAAGGGTGATAGTGTAGATCAATGTATTAACTGCATCTCCTTCATCAAATATATTTTTTTGGATCTGTCCAGGTCCAATTTCAGTTTTAATAAGCCATTGCTTAGTAGCATTCAGGATATGATCTTTTGCAGTTTCATCCGTATGAAAATCCCACCATCCTCTAAGACATCCTGTAAAGCTACATATGATAGCTTTGGCAATTTCATGATCTTTATTCCCACTTGCTTTACAAGCGATGACATACATTGCCATGTGTTTCATAAGGTCAAGGATCTGATTTTCAGATATGCCATCTATATTCCAATTTACAATTGACCTTCCTGAATAGGACACAGAAATAGCAATAAGATCTTCTATTTGGAGATCAATAGGAGTGGGTTTAGGATAATACATTCTAGTTTGTGCGACTGGCCTAGTCTTCCCCCATAATCTATTCTGTTGAGATCTATGCTTTTAGTGTAAAAAGCATTTTCTATTTCAGATATTTCTTGGTTTGTATAATTCTGATCTTTTTGGAGAACTTGTAGTTCACCGATCGCTAATTTCTCCTTATCATTAATATTCAGTTTTGCAAGTCTTTTGACTAACTCATCAATCAATTCTTTATTTTCTTCTTTTTTCTTGATTCCTTGCAGGCTGAATTTTCCTTTATTTATACTTGGTGGTGGCTTAAATAATACTGCCTCCTTAACCTTCTCTTCTTTG